AYWAYAAYWWAACCAAGGCTCAATTCACAGCTGCMATGATTCCATGTGCACAACAGATAYTCTCTTCCTACTGTACTTACATTGGTTCTCCAGTATCAATGTATCCTTGTATGACATCATCAGACACTTCACCAAACATGACAGTAGTTTCTTCATAAAATTGAGTAATTGCTGACTTAGATACCATAAGACTGTCTAAAAGYGCAAAAAATATGCTCAACTTGAACATTGTCTAGTTTGGATAGTTGAGATATTACAATATGGAGCTATATGATCCCATATTATTAGTGACATTTAAAATACTTATTGACGTTACCATGTGGTTGAATTAAGGTAACTCCACTGTAAACTTTATGTTCACTTCCACTTAACCTAAGGACACAATGTGCCAAATCAGTCTGCATAATATATGCATTTGTTGACAGCATGAATTTTATTTCATTTTGTAATAGTAAGATCYCAGATACCTTCTTAACATGTTATAAGCATCTTCTTTGCTTTTGGGTTTTTCTAATATCTTATTATTATGAAACTGAAGAAATGAGATATGCAATAAACATAGAATCAGGTAAATTAATATAGGGCTTTAAACTCTCCAGATTTTGGATGGTCAATCTCTTGGCATAAGAATTTCGACCAGTTGTCAAAATTAATACATCCTGATTGATTGATAAACATAATTTATACAAAATGTACATACCACAATGGTGTCTGATCCTATTACTAASTCTGGATTATCTTTCTGAAGTGGAAAAAGAACYGGTTAGGCAGCTGCATGTTCTACAATGAGTTTAGTGTGTTATAGCTTACATTGTTGTCTTCTAGGAKTCTTTTTGTCACTTCCAGTGCTTTTTGTTTCGCGTTTTCAAGGACATAATCCTTTGGATGGTTAAACTGTGACTTATCCAAGTTTTCCTCGAATGTTGATGGAACAATCGTAAACTTAAGACCCTGGGAAGATCGCCAACAATATGAAGTCCAGTCTCACAAAAGCTGCCGAATGCGTGTTCACAAA